TAAACCAGTTTTATTAAGTAAAGACTTGTGTCGTTAAAGTTTCGTCGGAACGAAGTTACGGAAAAATCAATTAACAAACGGAGACGTAACAATATAAAACCTATTTAAGATCACAGTTGGAGTATGCTGTACAGGCTTGGTCACCAAACCTTAAAAAAAAGAAAAGAAAAAAAAAGATATTGATGCCTTGGAAAGAGTGCAAAGAAGAGCCACAAAACTGGTTCCTAAGCTAAAGGATAAAGCACATGAAGAGGTACTGAAGACATTAACTTTAACTACACTGGAAGAGAGGGGTCATAGATGAGACATAATAGAGACCTTTAAGATTATCAAGGGATTTGAAAATATAAATGCCGAATCCAAGTGACCCAGAAAAAATATGCTAACAACATTGTAATAAGGAAATAAGAAGGAAGAGTAGTAAACAAATGGAAAGAAATAGTCAGTCATGATAGAGATATTCTGAAGGCAACGTCGGTGAATACTTTTAATAACAAATATGATAAATATAAAGATTGTCAATAGCAAGCGTCTAATTGTTAAAGTATATATATAAAAAAGTATAAATAGTGATAAACTTTAAATTGTTATTTGTGGAGAGGCAGGCAACAAGCATTAATAAGTGCACTCAAACTCGCTTATTATTACTGTGAATGTGAATGAATGTTATGGATTTCAACACAAACGTTTAAAATGAATAAAAAAGAATTACCGTATGATGGCGTTATGAATTTTCAAGGTTCGTCAAATATCGTGCGCTAAATCATATGTTAAGATGCGCATCATGTGCGCAAGGGTCTTTAAAGGTTTAGTTAAATAACTTTAATGCTGGAAGAAGTGGAATTTATAAATAATTGTAGACTATACTTATCATGGAGGTTTCTTTGTAAATGACTCTTGCATGTTAAATATTAATATAAAATATGAATCTGGGTCCGAAAAGTTTTGATAAAAGATTTGCAGACTATTTTGTTATTTGTGGGTTAGATATTACTTCAGGGTTAGAACCAGACCAGCTTTCAGGTAGGATTATAAAAAAAATATAATTTATCATTTTAATTTAGGTTTGTGGACTCGACTTATCTGTATTTAATTGATGTTAGTACACTTTATACATAAAACTTAAAAACAAACTGTTTTAAATGACTTTATTTCATTCTCTTGTATATAAAATTAAAAATTGAATTAGTCCAATGAAATTAGAAACTGATACTAAAAGTAATAGTAATACTATAGTCTATAGTGATACTGTTACTACTACTAGTAGTACTAATAATAATAATATTAATAGGATTACTATGAGCAGTATGGACTATAGTTAAATATCAAACTTTAAAACTAGCAAAAGTTATACCCAAGTAAATAGCAATTACATAAACTAGACATTTTGGGTATTCTATCTCTACTACTACTACTAGTATTAGGCTCTAGGTTTCAGCCTAATCGTTGCCTGAAAATAATGTTAATAGGCATTCACTTATTTTACAGTTACACAAATTACAGTCTTGCTTGGAAATGACATGACCTAGTTCTCTTTTGTATATGTCGTTACTTGTTCTTGCTTTCTTTCAGTTTCATTGAGTGGGTTCTTTTAAATTATTTGGTGCAAGTAAGGTCGAGTCCAGTTCACAAATTAGTTTATTTCTTCCTTAATATTATTATAGGCTTCTGTCACTTGTAGTTAGTTGTACACAGTTGTAGGCCTAAGTTCACAAGTAACATTTTTCACTTTTATCCAAAATTGTACTTACTAATGGTACCATGAATAACATACAAATAAACCTGTATGTAAATATCATGACTGTTTGATCAAGTAATTGAATGTGCATGATAATTAACACTGATCTTGAATATTTCATTAACTTCTCAGTCACTGAACAAAGTGAAACTAAATGCTTCTCTGATTTTTGTACTTATAATGTATTCTTGTTTCTTGATCGTAAACATTCTACACATTCTAGGAGTAATCTTATAAACTTTCTAAATCTATCATCATCATCAAGTTAGCAGCTTCCTCTAGCAAACAACTAAATTAAACATTGAATACATAGCTTATAACATTATTGATTGCAGTGGCCACAATTTTATCTTGATAAGTAGGGGTTAAAAGCATGAGTGATTGAATAGAATGCAAATGAGGTATACAAGTTTTAGGACATTAGAGAAATAATTTTATACTTATAGCATAATTAATACAAATAATACATTTAAACTTTAATGTATGATTTAGAATTTTTGTCTTTATTGCAACTTTCAAAAGGCTCAGATAAAATGTAGTACACTTGCAGAGCTTGCTTACTTGAGGAAAAGTAAGAGATAGCTTTGGGAAAGCCTACACTATCAAAGGAAGGTAAATAGCAAATTTGGAGCAGAAATCAGGAAAACAAAATAGGAATTGGATAGAGTTAGGGTAGTGGTTGCTTCAGGGGAGACTAAAAATAAGAGAGCATGTTTACAAGGTCAAAGGTTCACAGTAGTAAAAATGTTAGGGCAATAGAAGCAAGTTCATGTAGCATTGAGGTACCAGTTTGTAATATATATATATGAAACTTTGAGAGCTGCTTGCAATGAGAAGTGAGATTATCAAAAGGGACTGTTTCATTAAGTAATGTAACCTGACAAGGTTTTAGTGGAGATCATAGAAAGAGTTGGACTAGACTTTGCTTGCAAGGTGCTTAGTACAGGATATTAGAGAATTTGACAGTTAATATTTGTTGTTACCAAAGGACATTTTATTTTGAAGTGCATTTAGGAGTGAATTATATTCAGTAGTAAATCAGAACAGCTTTTTATAAGCTATAAAGAACTTCTTCAGAGGCTTAGGGATAGAAACAGATGTGTGATATTTTTGTAGGTGGTCCATCGGACTAGATGCAGGAATGAACTATATAGCATGACCCACGACTTAAGGGAAAGATTATCAAGGATTATACTTAGAGCAACTGGTGGCCTGGTTGGACTACAGATATGTTCCTCTAAATAGACTAGATAGTTGAATGTTTGGAAAAACTATAGATATTCATTAAAGATAGTTTAAACTAAATTTGCATAATAGTGAAGGAGTATGTGAAATTGGAAATAAATGGATAGATTGATAAGATAACTATGGCAATGTGTAGATTGGATATAGGAAATTTGGAGCATGAGTTAAAAATTAATGTGTCAGCTTTAAAGATAGTAGATTCAAGTGCAAGTTTAATTGCTGTTGTTCTAATTTTAGGAGTATGGGGAACAAAACTGATGAGATTTGGACTCTAGTTGAAATAGAAAACTATAATGGGAGTTACTGAAACTTAGATTTGTAGAATGTTGATAATAAGAATTATTTTGAAATTTCAGGTTTTAAGTTACTTAATAGTGATAGACATTTTAAAATAAGGAATGGGGAGGCTTTTTATATAAGGAGTGAACTGAGGCCCATTTGGACTGAAGAGAAAAATGGTATCAAATGGTTGATTCTTTGTAATCTTCAGTTGCAGGTGTCATGGGTAGAGAGTTTCTACTTGGCAATTGTTATAGGCCACCCGATGAGAGAAATGGTATCAAATGGTTGATTCTTTGTAATCTTCAGTTGCAGGTTTCGTGGGTAGCGAGTTTCTTCTTGGCAATTGTTATAGGCCACCTGATGAGAGAAATGGTATCAAAAGGTTGATTCTTTGTAATCTTCAGTTGCAGGTTTCATGGGTAGAGAGTTTCTACTTGGCAATTGTTATAGGCCACCTGATGAGAGAAATGGTATCAAAAGGTTGATTCTTTGTAATCTTCAGTTGCAGGTTTCGTGGGTAGAGAGTTTCTTCTTGGCAATTGTTGTAGGCCACCTGATGAGAGAAATGGTATCAAAAGGTTGATTCTTTGTAATCTTCAGTTGCAGGTTTCATGGGTAGAGAGTTTCTACTTGGCAATTGTTATAGGCCACCTGATGAAAGAAATGAAATCAGTGAAAGATTATGTAATGAGTCAAAGATGTTTCTATTAAGAATGCCTCTGCAATAATTTTCAGATACTTTAATTTTAGACACATTGCTTGGGATTGTATGGACTCAAGTAGTGTTAGAGAGTGATTTCTTGATGTGATTCAGGATGCTTTTCTATACCAAATGGTCTCAAAGTCAATCAGAGGAGATACCATTTTTAGATGTGTTGTTAACCCTAAGTAGGATATCAGGGGTGCAAAGGTTATTTTTTTTAATGTTACTATAGCCCCAGGCAACTAGGCATGAGAAATATACTACCCCCAAACTGAAATTATCCTAGCTCAACTATTGTTTTGTTATTCTAATGATGTATTGAAAATATAAAAATGTAAAATCTCTTGTCAGGTTAATTGGTCTGCATATATGATGAAATTAAAACTAACACATCTCGGTCTGACAATCACAATCAGAAAACCTTGCCCTTTACTATAGTGTTTAGGAAAAAAGTCATTTCATCCTAACACAACTATTTCATCTCTTATAAATAAACTTTGCGTTGAATAATTAGTCTAATCCCAACAAAAAATAATTAGAAAGTATTGTGAATAAGAACAAAATAATTTATTTTTCAAGTTGGTAATTGAGTCATGGATTAGCCTGTTGTCAATGAACAGGCTATCATCTTACATAAATTTCAGTAACAGTGAAAGAAAAAAATAAGTTAGCCTTTCTATAAATTTTAACAATTAAATATAGAAATTGATTGTATACACACGCACAAAGTTTATACAAGGAAAAACCTCACTATCCCTGGATTACTATGTATGGAATTGACAGCAGCCCAAACTTAGAATTTGGTAGTCTCAGACATTGATTTAGTAGATTTTATGTCTCTGGGATATGGTTTCAAGAATTGAATTGCAGGAACATGTAGTGGGAGATTGATCATTATGTAATTAGGTTTATAACCGGTTACATGATGAGATAAATAAAAATGAAATTTTGGTTCTTAATTTTCAGAAATCATGTTTTGAGGCCATGAGATGTAAAATTTAAAGACAACAAGAGACATGTTGGTCCATATAGGCTGTCCCATGTACTAAACTATTAAAACTTAATACTAGTCCTTATTGTTCAAATGTTTATTAAGCATTCCCTTAAATTTTATTAAATTTACTGCTTACTTAACATCTGAAGGTAACCCTTTCTAAAGGCCAACTAACCTGTTAGAAAAATAAAGCTGTCTTAGCTGAAGATGACTCCTTTCCTGTCAAAATTAATATCTTTTTCACCTACTCCCACCATTCTCACCATAAATGTGAAAAAAAAGATGATGCATTGATCCTATCAATTCCCTCAAGTTCAAACACCTCAATAAAATCTCCTGTAACTTCTTTTTTTCATGAGAAAAGAATTTCAAATATCTTGACCTGTCCTCATAAAACAGTCTTTTGATCCCAGATATCCTGGTAGCTCTCTAGTAGGAAACTTGTGAGTTATCATTAATATAAATTTTGTATGCATAATGATATAATAATAAGTCATGCAATGATTGTGCCAATAGACTCCTGCATGTGAAGAAAGAAATTATTCTAACTTAATTCTGTTCACACTGTTAAGATTATTCCCATTCAAATTATATGTACAATTCAAATTATGATACCCACATATTTAGGACCTCTGCTCTTTTTGATTTACATCAGTCACATAGATGAAGGAATGGCCAATAAATGACTTACATTTGCTGATGACATTAAGGTCTTTGGTGTTGCTGGGTATAAGGATGCTGTTGCTTTACGAAAGGATTTAGATCATTTGACAAGTTGGGTGAATAAGTGGCAGATGACTTTTATTTATAATAAATGCAAGGTAATGACTGAGCTTTGTGATACCCCACTTGTGATATTAATCCAGTTTGACTGAACTCCCTTTGTAACAACCCTCTGCTTTCTTACTTACAGCTGCTTTTCTCTCCAATGAGTAAACTTATCCTCACACCTGTAGAGATCATTTCTCTAACAAGTCTTTTATGTGGCATCTTGTAAAATGCTCTCTGAAAATCTAGATATATCAAATCCACATTCTTAACCTTATCTACGTAAGCAATAACCATTTCAAAGAATGTCAAAAGATTAGTAGGGCAAGATTTTCTTCTGGTAAAGCCTTGAGCACTATTCAACAGAATTTTCAACTTTGTTAAATGACTTTGCAAAGCATCTTCTATCAAAAACTTTTCCCACCACTGAGGTAAGGCTGATAGACCTATAATTACAGAGACAATTTTTGCCATCTACCTTGAAAAAAGTAACAATAGCCAATCTCCAATCCTCAGGCACACGCCCATTATCACCTAGAAATGAAAGTATTGTTTATTTGATCTTTGAAGTTTTTTAATATCCTATGGAAATCTTTGTTTGATCCTGGTGCTTTTCTATCTTTAATATTTCTGTTTACCTTCAAGGGATTAATGTTTACATGATTTAAATCAATTTCAATATTTCCCACATAAATATAGTTCCAGGATCAAAGTTTTCCTTAGGGTGCTATAGGTGGTCAAAGATCAAATATATGAGCCTATTTTATATTTGTGGAAGGTGGGCAGATGCCTGAGGAAAAGAAAGTTGCTTATGTTACTCCTGTTTTTAAAGGTGTGATAAAAGGTACTCTGGAAATTATAGGCCAGTTAGTCTTACTTTTACAGTGTGAAATATTCCAAAAGACTCATAAAAAAAGCTTTGCAAAATAATTTAGTGAAAAATGATATAAATGAAGCCAATATGGATGCACCAAGAAAAAATCATGCCATACTAAATTGTTGTTCTTTTTATGAGGATATTACTTATTATCTGGATATAGACTTATATTTTCAAAAACATACCAAGAGTAGTGTAAGAGGTGCACCTGCACAGGGTGCCGACTCATACAAGGCAACAAGAGGTCAGTGACAATCAGACTTTTTTAAGAGGGGCACAGAAAGTTGTAATTTGCATGAGGCACCCTCAGTGATTGATATGACCCTGCTCAAAAGACTTTTGTTAAGGTGTTAAAGAAAGGATTAGCTAAGAATATCATATTTATAGGGGCTGGGGAATAACTAGTTAGTTGGATGGGAGAAAGCAAAAGGTTGTTATTTATGGAGTCTTGTAAAACTAGACCCTTGTTACAAATAAATTGCCTCAGAAATTAGTACTTAAGCCTTTGCCTTTTCTTATTTATGTTAATGATATTGTTAGGGCATAAACTCTTGGTACTTCTAGCCATATTGAGAATGACTTGGATCAACTTGTAAGTTGGACATGTATTTGGCAGGTGACTTAATAGTAAGTACTTTAGTATACATAAATCTGCATGCATAATTTAAGACAATTGCATTTTAGAACTTAATACATTTAAAAAATCTGATCATAAGCAATAAATTCAAGTTAGGTGTATAACTGAGAGTAATATAATTTATATAAATATAGATTTTTTTAAATTTAGGGGATAAACTACATTGTACACCATTGGACAGACCCTATCGATCCAAAGTTTTGGCACACTACCCAGACAATGTGCCTTGGAATCCTTTTGATGAAAAAGCTGTTGGGATGGTAAGGCAATTTTATTTACTTGTTTAGTAATTGCATGTTATTGTAGTTAAGATTTCATTCCTGGACTTAATGAAATGATAATATTTGAAGAAAATACCTAATAGAACATGGTGAGATTTAAAACAAAGAATGAGAACTTGCTCGCTGACAATAACATTTTCTGTTTGGTTATATCTTGAAGTACAGTAACTGTAAGTATTATTAATATGCTTCAAAAACAAAATTTAAGTAACTTATAGTTTGTTTATTTTTTATTAGCTGTGTCATCCTCGAGGATTGTCTTTTAGAACACAGAAACATACCCATGGCCCATTGTTTCATTCATTCATCATCACTCGAGAAGATGGAACTCGGACCTATGGTCATACCCTCACATTCTATGAAGAAGTTAGAGATAGACAAATCTGTGCTGCTATGCAGACATTACAGGTCAGTAATTTGTAACTATTAGCCTCTCATCTGTTAGGTTCAATGGATCTACTTACATTTCCAACAGGAAATAACCATTGTGCAATATAAATTTTAAAATTCTTATTATTGAGACCAAGTTCAAATTGACATGAGACTCAAATGACTGGAGTAATTAGATTGCCAGAACCATTATCACATTCACATCCATATCTTCAGTTTGTCCATCAGGGGGTTGTGTACCAGTTTCATGCCTTACATTTTGGCCTAGCCTCAGCACCATACATGTTTTGTCGTGTGGTCCGCTCCTTTGCTCAGCATATTCATGCCATGGGGCTGCGCTTCTATGTTTATATGGATGACTGGCTTCTTCTTACTCATTCTGAATGGGACTCAGCTTGTCATACTTGCCAGCTCCAGGCCAAAGCTGCACAGGTGGGCTGGTTGGTGAAATTGGAGAAGTCTTTCCTTTGTCCTACATAATACCTTATACATTTGGGGGTTTTCTTCAACACCCATCTCAGTCGGGCCCAACCTTCTCCTCTCTGACTCTATTCTATAGAGTGGGCCATTCGGAAAGCCTTATATTTTCCCTCACTTACAGCTTGTGAGGTTCTTTTGGAGATGTGGTCCTCCATGACCCCTCTCATACCCCTGGGCAGGGCCCATATGTGGTTTCTTTAATGGGCTCTTCACAATCAAGGGAACCTCACCCGGGATCCCTTGGATAGTTCTATATCCCTTCCCTCATCCCTTACGGACGATATCCATTGGTGGTTGAACAAGGCCCACACATTAGTGTGGGTCCAGTTTCCTCCTCTGCAGCCAGATTTATACTTCTGTCTCAATCTGCTCCATCAACTGCAGTAAGCAGCACTCCATTCCGCACTGTCAATCCTCTGTCTTCACGCCTGGCTTTTGTCAGGCCCATGGCGAGGAGTTCTGGTTTTTCTCTCAGAGTAGCTTCACATTTAGCCCGTTCCATTTGCCCTTTTTCTTTGGCTGTCTATCCACACAAGTGGCGCACTTATCCCTCTTGGGCATTGAATTGACTTGGGATTTCCAGGTTTCTCATTTAACGGTTGGCCAGGAGGAAGAGGAAATATGCCTTCAAGGAGAGAAGTGAAACAGGGAACACACAGATAGAGGTTTGAACAGAAGTAAAGCAAAAGGCATGAAGGACCAAGTTAATGTCCCAGTCCAGGATCAACAGATACCTCCGTGGCCAATGGAGCTGGAAGGAACAGATCATCATGGAAAGGACAGGGGAAGCAAAGACCCTGTGGAAACAGAAAAAATGGAAGGGATGGGATAACACCTCCCAAAACCCTGAAATCAAGGAGACCAAAGAACCCCTCAAAGAGACACATGAGAAACTCAGACACACAAGCTCAGGTGTCAACAGTACCAGGACCTAGTACCACTCCTCCTACCTTATCCTTTATCTGGATCATGCTTTCCCTCCTAAAACCTCTATGGCTCAAGAAGGTCAGTCCTCTTTTTCCCCTATCTGCCTATCCTCTATATCTCATCTTTAGCCTGATCCTGATCCAGATAGACTCCTCTGTCCTGTCTGTGCCATACATTATTTTGCTTGCACAGCTTCCTTCCAGAGTACTTGTTCCCTTTTATCCCTTGGCAACCTTCCTCTTCCCATTATCTTTCCCCATTTACCCTGACCAATTGCATTTGACATTTGATCCAGTTGGCCTATTCCTCCTTTTCTCTTTCCCAGCTTGATCTTGATCACGTTTCCTCACATAAAATCTGTCACCTTACCTTCTCCCTTGTTTCTCGTCTTCATCAGCCATTGGAGGAGATTCTACGATTGGACTACTCTGCACACATTCATTTCCCACTACCTATACCACATCGCTGTTTCTGCTCCTTTGTGGTATTGCCTGCCACCTGTGGCTATTCTACAGACTTTGGCACAGCTGTGACATGAGGTAAGTCCTTACTAATGCTTTATTTTCTATCAGGTTCCCCTGCTTCAGCTTCACTTTGGATCCTGCTCTGTGACAAGTGGTGCCTGACCAGGTATTCTGTTTGTACTCGGAATGGGTTCCACTTAGATGGCTATAACCAATTGCAGACATCTTGCTATCAAATCTGCACTGTAAACCATATTGATTCTTATACATTTGTTATGGCTATGTATGCTCACCCTAGAAATGGAGTGTTTCACAAGATCACTATTGTACATTGTAATTGCATCATAATATGTCCATCCCAGACAGTACCACCCATATATGGCATGGGTAAAGCAAAAGGGATTGCTGCCCATCCCTGCCATGCCAGATTGAATAAATCTGTGTGGTCTTCCTTTAAAAATTGGGCTTTGTGATCACCCTTTGCACTGTCTCAGGTGTTGCAGTCCCTCTGGATTCTCCACTGCACTCTTTCCCCCTTTCTTCCAGTTGAGTATGGGAGTCCTTACTACTTACCAGTTCCAAGTCACTGGGGTAGTTGACCATGGAGGCAACCTGCTGGTTGGGTTCCACAAAGATAGCTATAACTATTCAGTTCGGAGTAGGGCAGTGGTGTTCTGCCAGTGTAGAGAGAGTTACAAAATCCTCCAGGTGAGTAACTAATTCCTGGAATTGAGATGCCTAAATGCAGTTTACTCTTCTGATTGGGTGCCCTCCTCCTACCCTCGTGGAGATGTCAGTACCCAGCGAGTGAAGTTTTGTAGATTGAGTGAACCAATCACATAATCGTCACACTGGTTTTGGGTTGTCCATCTTCTCCCTTGACTTGTGTTCTGTGTTGTTGGTTGCAGAAGGTCTAAGTGACCTGTTTCCACTTCTGTCCTGGGTTTCCCTCATTGGGTGACGAAGTTGTTACCAACCTGGGGTCGTTTCGGGCTAGTTTCATGGTCGTGGGTGTTGAGTGCATGCGATGGCTTCACTCGGAATACAGATAACACATTCCCAAATCCCTGGCATTAGGCTACCCTGTGAGTTCCTGGAGTTGAATGTTAGGTTCTCTCTTGATTCTGGGACTTGAGGTGAAGATGGTATGATCCTCATCCTACCCTCGCAAGGATGTCAATACCCAATGAGTGAGGTTTTGGATGTAGTTGACTTACTGAGTATGGTTTGCTGCACCATAGCCACTCTACACCATGGGCCCATCACATCCTCACTTTCCATTGTGGGTTTGAGTGATTATGATTTTTCTTTGAGATCACATTGCTAAACTATCCTCTCCCATGTGGATGTGCTCCCTTCATGTTCAGCCATGTTGTTGTTCCTGGCAAAGAGATACGTGGCTCAGATGTGGTGTGGTTCCCCTTCTCTGATCATCTGATCTGTTCCTCTCATTTTGCTTCTGGGGGATATGCCTGTGCTTCCCTTGCATGGGCACCTCCTCTATTTTAATATGGGATTCAAGCTAATCTTTTGAGTGGAGGGAGAGTACCTTATCAGAGATGATAATTTTCCTAAATGAAAATGCCTTTCCGATAGGTAGTTTCCTCCTCACACTTCCCACCTGTCCTCCCCACAATCTACTGGTGCTCGTGTCTTCTGCCAAACTTCAAAGTGATAGTTCGATAGTGGTGCATAAAGTGAGTTACATACATCACATGATAGTAGTGCTCTCTTATTAGTGACGCATGATGATTTGCATGAGAGACGTGTTGGGACTATGGATTCCAACAAAGGGATGATGAAGGCTTGTAGTATGCGTTTCTGAAAAAGCTTGCATACAGAAGACAGCACAAAATGAGAGAAGCTAATCTTGTTAGTGGAGGGAAGTACCTATTGGAAATAACTTTTCATTTAGGAAGATTATAACTTTCCAAATAACTTTGCTATTATTCACCACTAAGGTAAACAACTTCAAAATGTAAGCATGCCAAGGGCAGTAGTGAATGCTGAACTGACCACTTGCAGCGTGAGCTCCCAGTTACCATAACCAGTGGAACCTTACTTTATCTTTCATACAATGTAGGATATATACTAATTATAGTAGTAGTGGTATGAAGCAGTATATTCAATCTTTATCTGCTTAGTTGAGACTGTTATCTACTTTTCTACTGCCAAATCAGTGTTGAATGAGAAAAAACAGATTAATGAAAATAAAAGTTACCCTTGGAATATACATATCATTCAGTTTCATTGCAGTTTTTAGTTTTATTCTTATATATCGTCATACTTAAAGGTAACACGCTTTCTAATCCCATGTAATCTGCTTGATAATGTGTGTAATATTGCAATATCTTGATTTGCATATTACTTCCTTCTATGAGTTGCTTTCCTTTAAAAGTATAGTTAAAAAGTAATGGCTACATTGTCTTGGATTGATGTAACTCACACAAAAATCTATCCAAAAACACTTGAGTGAAAAAAGAAGCCAAAATTCTGCTTTTGATCAAACGTTAGGTGATATGTAATAAACAGAGTAAAACAAAGCAACTTGATATTATTCACATTGCATCATTTTATTCATGTGATGTACAACTGAATTTTCATTCGTCTTGCTCCAATTTCACATTTTGTTCAATGTAACTCGCTGATGATTCTTAGGTGATCTTGGTAAGGGTTGTTTTATTTAACGTGGGAAAATTTGTTTCACATTACAATAATAATAATGTGTGGTATATATATGCTTGTGTCCTGCAGTTTGATACTGAATATGTTATTGGTTGACTGTATTTACAAATCCAGTTATGTGTTATTTGTTTAGGCAATGCATCTTACAGAACTAAGCAGCAGTAAAACTCAAGCAGCATTGGTAATTAATGATTCGGGAAGCAGTCATTCTTTACCTCGTTCCTTCAAGCTAGGTTTTCGTCAACATGCTGCAAAGGACTCACTCTACGATGTTATAAGAGACACACTGTATGTTACTAAGTGTATCTGTCTTATAACTCAGTTACCCATAATCTTGGCATGCAGAAGATATCTTGAAGGACTTTATAGTTTTGTGGCATCACAAGAACCACCACCGTTACCACTAGAGTGTTATGTGTATAATATCTTGTATGAGGTGCCACTGCCATCACCTGGCCGAAGTCTCAAGTTTTCTTGCTTTGGCCAATCAGTGATGTGCCAAAGGCCAGGTAAGGAGGACAACTTATGTTAGTCGTTATTTTTTTAGAGAAAGCTAAGTTATTGTTTTTTTTATTTATTTCTGTGATATTTTTAATTATTAGCTGCTGATCAGAACAAGCTACCAACTTTGATAAAAAAATCAATCAAGTAGTTGTGAATATAGCTAATTAAATATTCAGCTATTATATTCTTTATTATATGATTAGAATACATTGTTTCATCACCTAGGTACCTTTGCTGTTAGTGATAGTTTTAGCCATAACTCCAGTATCCCACAAGTTTGCCATCTTAGAAGATATAACAATACAAATAATCTCTATAGTAAAAGTGTAATAATGAAAAATAATATATATAAAAATAGATATATTAAAAATTCTAACCAATACTGGTAATAAAAGTAACATTAAAGAAAGAATAAAGTAAATCAGTTTATATCTTAATTACAAAATAGGGTACCATAGGATAATACTCAGAAGGTGAAATTGCCTCTGTTCGAGCAAGACTTAATAAATTTAAAATAACAATAGTAAACAGCTGCCCATTTTACACCTACGTAGAAACTGTACGTCATGCTACGTATGACTGTGTTACATCTGTTGCTTTATGGAGGAAATTTGCCTTTGTATATCATGTATAGCGTGGTACTTTTCTGTACTTAGAACATAGAGAAATTTAATAATTTTGTAAATTAGAAATATACAGTATAAGAGAGTAAAACATGTAGTATTTATATATTACAATGCTGTAAATTACATAAAAGTGTAGTTTAAAATTGGCTATGACTCACACTAACATTCATAAATAATATTTTTATTACATTTTTGACTTTATATTTAAATACATTTGGGTAAACAAACCAGAACTAAAAGAGAAGTAGTCAACCAATATGGACTAGTTTTACCTGCACATTGTTACAATCAGAACACCCAGGAAAGTTTTTTTTATAACCTATCTGCTCGGATAACACAATAGGATATTTAATGATGTAATCAGACTTGCCAACACAGCAACACCACCAACATACTTAAAATTTCAACTAATAAACCTCATTTCAGTTTTAAGAAATAAAAAAAAGAACTTAAGCCAGATGGAAACAAAAGAAATATACAAGTTAATGCAAAAAGAAGGTCAACCAAATTTACATGTAAATAACCTCACCATAGACTGAACTAAAGTATGATACAGGGTTAATTCAAAACACTTTGAAGCATCACGCCCTAATGTGACAAATTGCCCATAAAAAACTCAGGCTATCAAACCTAAAGCTCTGGCAAAGCTAGCATATGTCGGTCAAATATACCCTCCACAAGCAGTAAAAATGAGAGAAACAAATACAAAGTTGTATAGACCTTATCTGTATTCTAAATCCTGTTTTAGATGAAATAAATGGTAGTTTAAATAGAGATCAAACTGTAAGTTGGCTGGAACAAATAACCAATAATTTTGATTTAGTTGATGTCTGGCATCATATTCAGGATTCTGACCCTGGTATGACATACTGGAGTAGTAGTGGGGTGGGGGTCAGGCTCGACAAAATCTACGTCACCAGTGATATACTGCAGTCGGTGGTAAAAACCTGAGTAAGCCCAATTGGCACTAAGGATTTTTATGTTACCAACCACCATATATTATGTCTAGAACTAGCAACAGCAAACAAAACAAATTGAGGCCAAGAACACTAGAAATTCAATGTCTTCACCCTAGATAACACAAACACAGTAGAACAAATAAATGAAACATTAAACATACAAATAATAGAAACAGAACTAAATGAGCTATATGAACAGAAAAAGGAAAGAATTAAGGTAAAAACTTTAATTTAAACATTAGATCATAAAGAAAAAAGTTTCCGGTGCACTATATAAACAGCTCATGAAAAAATAAAGAAGGCAGACATAAAACAATAGATCAGTAGAAAGAGAGCTCTTTCTCCTAGCCGCCTATGATAATATCATAGGTGCAGAAAATAAAGTTTTATTGATTAATGAAAAACTGCCTTCTAGGTGTGTCTTTATCAGGTGCATATACATTTACTTGTCTTATTTTTCGTTTATGTAACTCTTTGTCTAACAAGCACAGATGTCCGTACTCATCATGTCTGAATGACTTTATTTTTCCTTTAAAGTTAGGATGTATAATTATACCTGTACCAGCTTTTCTGGTAAAATTGAGACCACAGTAAGATTTATAACCAAATTTTTTAGTGAAGTTTCTAATATTGGTTAGTGTTTCTATATGCGTTTTCTGTAGGAAAAGTATGTATATATTATGTCTATTGATAAAGTCTATTACAAATTCTTGTTTTTTTATCTTTTTTGAAACCTTTTGTGTTTGAAGTTAATATTTTTTAGGGTCATTATTATGCAAGATAGCTGAACGACCATCTTTAACGTAAATAAAGACTTATGTCTATTTTATACTACAACTCAAACCTTTGGGTCACTATTGAAATGACCCTCCTCTTTTTTTTGTGGTAAATGATGTTGTTGAGTTCGTCTTTGGTCTTTTTTCCTTGTAGTTTCTTCCTGGGGTTTGCTGAGCTCCAGGTCTTTTCGCAGTTCTTGTTCATGAGTTTTCCCATTGATACCAGCTTCTCAGGTTCCAAATCACTGGCTAAGTGATCTTCTTTCTCCTTATTCGTTTTATCCACATTTTCTTCCAACTGGTCTTTAGTTACAGATATATTGTTCTCCAATTCACTATCATTAATAATGCTCATTTCACTATCTTTAACTTCACTCATTTCTCTTCCATTACTTTTATTTTCAGACTCATGATTTATTTCCTTGGGGGCAGAGGAGCCAGTATTCACTATTGATGCAAACATTTTAACCTAGCAAGTACAGAAGCTATGCTGTCCTCTACACTTTTTGCAGCCAGTCTGGCAGTTTTCCGAATCGTGACATGATTAGTCACAATGGCAGCAGATAGCCACATTGCAGGTGGCAGCAAAATGGCCTGTTTCTTGACACCTTGCACATAACTTTATCATACCAGGGTAATTGACCATGCCTCTACAATTGCAAACAGTTATGAAATTTGGAACTGGCTTAGCCATGTTCATCTTTACCCTTCGATTACCTGTAACTGCTTTGGGGAAATGTTTGTAGGTTTCCCTTACCATACTGTACACTTTGCTATAGTTCTCAACGCTTGGGCTAAACTTTTATTAGGAATCTTTATGTTTGAGCCAGCAGGGCTAAAGTCACTCTTTCCCCTTTTACATCAAAAACACCTCTTCCTAGAGCCTTGTTAGTTACAGCTGGGGAAGTGAAGGTACAGCACATCCTGTACCCCTCATACACTTTGGAGGCATCCTACCCCTTTTACCATGAGTTGTTCATAGAGAGCTTTGAATACTTTATGTGGAAGTGACCCATCCGGTATTGTGAAGATGGCCAAATTCAGTCGTTGCACACTTTGGTTAGTTGACATTGTCAGGCTTGGTTAAGTTTGACACGTGATAAGTAAAAGATTCTACTTATTTTTTGTTTAAATAAAACCAATACTAATATTTAGAACTACTGGCCTTAGGACCTACCTTACCTATTTTCCCTACAGCAAACCTTAGTTTTTTTATAGATTTAGCGAGCTCTCAGAATTTACCCTACCTGTGAATGTATCTTGCATTTGGAGGATATCTTGCAATAGTTACATGAATATAGTTTCATATTGTAATCCCCTTTTTTTCTTACTAATCGATTATACAGAGAGATTTTGTATTGTGAACAAAGAGATCTGTTCAAACTTTTTGATAAAGGCATTCCATCTGATCTGAGAGAGCCAGAATTCACAGTGAAATTCAAGTCTTGTATTGCTTTATTTCCATTACTGATCATACAAATGTTATTTTAGTTTCAAGTCTTATGGTTCTATTTCACTTTAATGCTGTCTTATCAACCTAGAAAATACATAATATAATTGTATGTGGAGCATGAAATAAACAGTACTTCTTTGTGTTCATCAAACTTGTGTCTTCTTTTCTGTGATTGTTCTCACATTAGCATTCCCTCCAACCAAATCTTTGAACCTCTTTTTATGCAGGTTAGTTTACTTCTGTACTATTATTTCTCTAAACCAGGAATGGCACAACTTTTGTGTCAGTATTTTTATTTTATTCTGTACACTTATGTAATGAGTTTCATTTTGATTTCATTAATTTTCACCATTTTTCAAGCACATTCTTAGTTTAAAGACGTTGCCGGGAATAAATAAACTTTAATGCAGTCTTTGTGAGTTTCAATTCATTCTTAAAATGATTATAAAGGTCAGAATTCTTTATTTCTCGTATTATAAATTTTAAACTGTAATCACATGATTAAAAATTGTTATTAATAAGTTTAGTTGTTATTTTTGTCATATATAATTTAGGGCTTCTCAGTACAGATTCCAAGTCATTTTGTAGAAGTAAAGTTTGTGCTTTAACATATTTTCAAAACTCAAGACAACCTATAATTTTAGAAGAAACAAAAACATTGTTTTTTAATTTTATCTTAGTAAAGCAAGTAAAGAACAGTTGGAT